AGTGTTGGTTGTAGCAAACCCAGGAGACACTGTAGCGCACGATGCAGAAGATGTGAGCAAGATCAGCAATGGAAAAGTTTTGAGCTCCAAGGATGGTTCTAGAACATATCAAAAGGTTCAAGATCCAACCATTATTTTGGGGACTTAACGAAGCTTACAGAAAACAGGCTTACATTAGCCAAACATCTGCGGTCAGGATACTAACAAAATAGCTTATCTAGCCCGGTGAAGTCATAAGCATATCTCAGGAGTGTGTGCTCTCTATCTCTCAAACACAGTATCTTACGAATCACCCCCACTCCCAAAAAGCACATATTTTGGCACCATTGAATTTTTTATTCAGAGAACATCTTAAAATATCATTATCATTATTATCTACAACAGTTGCTGCTGTCGCTGTTGTCGCTGTTACAGCTTTTATTAAACTAAGCCAGTAGCTTTATCAGGAGATATGGGGCTGTCTGGAAATGATGGAGGAACATGCCTGGATAATCTGTTTCCCTTGGATAATCTGTCCCTGGGTGGCCCAGGAGCTTCTTACAAACACATGTAACATGGAACTTTATAAAGTTTTAGCTAGAAAAAAATAAGGTTCCATCGACAGGGGCAGGACAGACTGGCGTGCAAATTCTGTAAACTTGTCATGCAGCTGGACTCCTAATCCCTTCTCGTATTGTTTACAACATCAAAACAAACAGCTTAGATTTAAATGCATTTGTTTTGAAAAAGTAAAACCATTTCCCGTTACAATATGGTAGAGATGTAGGCAAAACAGATGGGCAGCCCATCAGAGTAGAATGGACCTCACATTTAATTGTGAGGAAGCCATGTTGGAAGTACATCTGCACAGGATTCGATCTAGATTGCATTCATGAGATCAAATGCTAAACAACATTAGGTAAATATTTAGGGGTTATCTGGACATGTGTATCCTACCATATAATGATTCGGCCACATTGTTTGAATTAATAGGAGTGTGCAGCACTCTAACTGGTCCCTCTTGCTCTTATCCCCTAGAAGTTTCTGTCTCCCATAGAAGATTTTGGTGCAACAAAGTGAAACTGTGCTAAAGATCTGAGCACCAAGGCAGCCACTGCACCACTGGACAAGGTTGAGATGCTTAAAATGATTTCTGCATGCTCACACCTCTGCTGAGATTGAAAGGACAATTTTAAACATGCCACATAATATTCATTCAGTTAAGGTTTTTTTGTGGGGAGTCATTTTTCCAATGAAAAACATGGCTTTAAGAGGGGGGGAAACAAGATAGAAGTGCATAATGCTAAAATACTTACTGCTTAATCTTCAAGATTCTAGAACAGAGGAGAAGTGGGGGAGGAGAAAGATCATGAGCCAAATGTCTGGACAGAAAGCACTTACTAGCTTTAAAGGTATCAGCATCAAGGTGTACCAACTGTTCTGATCACATTTTTTGTACAAAAACTCTGTACTACGTTAACATCATATGCGGGAACAAATCTGAACTAAGCAACATGGGACATGTTTTATTTAGTACTGATTTATTAAAAGAGCAGCATTCACCCCATTTCTAGTTTATCAAGAAGGATAGAAAATAACTTCTTGCCAGCTGCAGCATTAAGCAGAGAGAACACACCTTGCTTTTACCCTCTCCCCCTTTGGCATTACTAGATAGCTCAGGTATTGACTGATGAAGGTGTGCCCTAATCAATAACACTCTCTTTGGTCCTTTACCAGGAGCAAAGTACATTGTGTGAATTTGTGGGGATCAAATGCAGTCATTTCAGTTTAAATAAGTATCCTTTCTTCATTGGGAAGTTGATAACAGGATAAAAGAACACGTAATGGCCATGTTTGGATGCCACAGTCATCTTTAAGCATAGTAACCATAATTATAATTCAGTGCAGGAGTAGCCAATGTGATGCCCTTCATCAGCTGTTGGATTACAACTTCCCATCACCCTCAACCATTTGCCATGATGGCTGGGACTGATGGCTGCTGTATTTAAACAACATCTGGATGGCACTACATTGGCTACCACTGATTTAGTGAGATGTGAACAAGACACAGCAAGCCTCAGGGTCAGATGTTTCTCCCCTCCTCCTCCTCTGGCACAGCCAAAAGGGTTTTGCAGCTTTGACTTCCATTTTCCAGTAACAACAGTTTAATATTACCCTAAACTGTGGTTGATCTTAACTAGGTAAAGGTGAAGAACCCCTGGGTCCAGTCAAAGGCGACCACAGGGTGTGGCACTCATCTCGCTTTTCAGGCCGAGGGAGCTGGGGTTTGTACACAGACAGTTTTCCAGGTCATGTGGCCAGCATGACTAAACCACTCCTGGGCAATGGAACACCGTGACAGAATTCTATGTAGAATTCTCTACAATTCTATGAAATAAAAAATAGGCAAACTAATTTTCCCAAATTGGTTCCTGTAATCAAAGGTAGCCAAAAGGTCAGGTGACCATGGAATGACCCCAGGCATAGTGAATTAGGATGGGGGAGCAGAAGGAGTGAGGATGCCATTGCTTTACGAAGACACGGTACAAATACGTGCAGTTTTCCCTTTTAGAAGTACAGCTAATTGTACATGTGGATAGAAGAGAGAGGGGAGAAGAGGACATTTAGTTCCCCCCAAACTCTGGTGATCTCTTTATATCGTGCCATGTTAAATGTTTTAAGGCATTCTAAATGCACTATGACTAATTCATGTCATTCACCCAAGAATGAAAAGCAGGGATAACTATACAGCTTCAAAAGGCTGAATTGGCCAGGTTCACTTCTGAACAAGTGACACCCGCACACACCTAAGCCTAGGGACCAGCCACCTGGGGCTGCTTTGTGAACACTGAAACATAAAAATGAATAATGTTGCATGGCATGGAAAACTACAACTTATAAGTGTACAGAGCCCATTATGACATATACGCTAGCGGCTACATCACTCAAATCACGGAGCTCGCAATACTGGCTGCATTTTCTTTCTCCCATCCCTTGAGACTGTGCTATTTTGGCACCATTAGAGTCACACTGAAATGTTCAAGCTGATGTCTAGTTATTAAAGCATGCAGCCCAGTTCAATTAGCGAGCTACACTTCTAGAACTGAACTATTTATTTGTTTCTATTAAGTTTGTATACCACCCTTCATCCAAAGGGCAGATGACAACATAAAAATACAAAGTGATTTGTACATAGTAAAAGGAACACAAACCAATAACCCCCCTCCCACAAACACACTTAAAAGACCACAAAATGTTAATTAACCCTGCTTATAGAGAATGGTTTTGTCCTGGCACCTAAAGATATGTAGGGACGTGGGTGGTGCGGTGGGTTAAACCACAGAGCCTAGGACTTGCCGATCTGAAGGTCGGCGGTTTGAATCCCCACGACGGGGTGAGCTCCCGTCGCTCGGTCCCTGCTCCTGCCAACCTAGCAGTTTGAAAGCACGTCAAAGTGCAAGTAGATAAATAGGTACCGCACCGGTGGGAAGGTAAACGGCATTTCTGTGTGCTGCTCTGGTTCACCAGAAGTGGCTTAGTCATGCTGGCCACATGACCCGGAAGCTGTACGCCGCTCCCTCAGTCAATAAAGTGAGATGAGCACCGCAACCCCAGAGTCGGCCACGACTGGATCTAATGGTCACGGGTCCCTTTACCTTTACATTTAAAGATACGTAAAGAAGGTGCCAGGCAAGCCTCCCAGGGGAGAGGAGCTAGGGCTGATGAGACTGTTACTTCAGCAACATCTGGTGGGTCATAGGCATCTCATACTTGCCCTAGAGTATCTGATTTCATCTGTTTACTTTGTTTTTATTTAGTACGAAAGGTAAATACCTTGAAGCTGCAAAACATGCCTAATATTGCATTTACAATTGCAATCTATTTTTTGTTACCATTAAAACTGGAGGCAACTATCCCTGCTACAGATCAGGGGTGGCAAATGTGATCCAGATGTTTTGGATTACATCCCCCATCAGCCTGAGACAGCATGACCAATGACAGAAGATGGGAACTATAGTCCAAAATATCCAGAGCACATTAACTTGGCTATGTTGGCCTTAAACCAGGATGAGCCAAGCATAACATCCTCAGCTTGCTAGGAGACCTAACACCACCCATTATCTCTCACCAGTGTGGTGAGAGCCAGTGTGGTGTAGTGGTTAAGAGTGATAGACTCGTAATCTGGGGAACCGGGTTTGTGTCTCCGCTCCTCCACATGCAGCTGCTGGGTGACCTTGGGCTAGACACATCTCTGAAGTCTCTCAGCCCCACTCACCTCACAGAGTGTTTGTTGTGGGGGAGGAAGGGAAAGAAGAATGTTAGCCGCTTTGAGACTCCTTTGGGTAGTGATAAAGCGGGATATCAAATCCAAACTCTTCTCTTCTTCTTCACCCTAACCTACCTCACAGGGTTGGTGTGAGGATAAGGGGAGGGGGAGAAGAACACACCAGCCTAAACTCTTTACAAGGAAAAAGAACTAACATGCAGCCAATAAATAAAAATATTACAGCATACCTCTGACTCTCTTCTTTCAACAAGATTGGCGATACGTTTTCTACAGACTCTGCCTTTTCCCATTTGGTAAATGCCCTTTACTTCTGCTTAAACCCCTGGTGTTTACACTGAAGCTACAAGTATTTATTCCGCTGTTCCACACCCTATAGCTTCTGTGTTCCCAGAAAACATTTCATGAAAACAAACACTGCTAATTTATGCGTGCTTAAATATTTGTGAATAGTGTAGCAAACTTTTTTTATATAAACTATATCCTGCCCTTCAAACTAAATATTTACAAGGCCGTATACAATATGAAGAAGCAATAAGGTTTTTAAAAAAGCCTTTTAAAAAGCAATTCCAGAATGACAGCAGAATAAGGCAGAAGATAAATTTGCAGCACCAAAACTGTATCAGAGGTGGCAGCCACCTAGTGCTGAAAGGGTATCAAAGATCACATCCACACTATGCATTATCAGCATTTATTTTCCCAAAGAACCCTGGGAACTGTATTTTCATCCTCATAGGCCTATGAATCCCAGCACCCTTCTTGAACTATAGTTACTATGATGGCATCTTTGTGTACAATGTAATGCAGTAAGCTCCATATCAGCCCTACTGCATTACATAGACACAAAGATATTATCATAGTAACTATAGTTCAAGAAGGGTGCTGGGATTCATAGGCTCATGAGGATGTTATTCCCAGGGTTCTTGGGAAAATAGCCGATACCATAGTACCTGATAATTTTCAGCACTAGGTGGCTGCCACCTCTGATACAGTTTTGCAAATTTATCTTCTGCCTTATTCTGCTGTCATTCTGAATTGCTTTTTAAAAGGCTTTTTTAAAAGCTTATTGCTTCTTCATTGTATACTGCCTTGTAAATATTTAGTGATATAGTTTATATAAAAAAAAAAAAAAAAAAAAAGTTTGCTAAGACTACACTCAATAAATCTTTTAAGCATGCATAAATTAGCAGTGTTTGCTTTCATGAAAATGTTTTCTGGGAACACATAGGGTGTGGAACAGTGAAAATAAATACTTGTAGCTTCAGTGTAAACACTAGGGTTTAAGCAGAAGAAGGGCATTTACCAATGGGAAAAGGTGAGTCTGTAGAAAAACGCATCGCCAATCTTGTTGAAAGAAGAGAGTCAGAGGTATGCTGTAATAGCTTTATTTATTGCTGCATGTTAGTTCTTTTCCTGTAAAGAGTTCAGGCTGGTGTGTCTTTCTCCCCTCTCTTATCCTCACACCAACCCTGTGGGAGGTAGGTTAGGGTGAAGAAGAAGAGAAGAGTTTGGATTTGATATCCCGCTTTGAGACTCCTTTGGGTAGTGATAAAGCGGGATATCAAATCCAAACTCTTCTCTTCTTCTTCACCCTAACCTACCTCACAGGGTTGGTGTGAGGATAAGGAGAGGGGGAGAAGAACACACCAGCCTGAACTCTTTACAAGGAAAAAGAACTAACATGCAGCCAATAAATAAAAATATTACAGCATACCTCTGACTCTCTTCTTTCAACAAGATTGGCGATACGTTTTCTACAGACTCTGCCTTTTCCCATTTGGTAAATGCCCTTTACTTCTGCTTAAACCCCTGGTGTTTACACTGAAGCTACAAGTATTTATTCCGCTGTTCCACACCCTATAGCTTCTGTGTTCCCAGAAAACATTTTCATGAAAACAAACACTGCTAATTTATGCATGCTTAAAGATTTGTGAATAGTGTAGCAAACTTTTTTTATATAAACTATATCCTGCCCTTCAAACTAAATATTTACAAGGCAGTATACAATATGAAGAAGCAATAAGGTTTTTAAAAAAGCCTTTTAAAAAGCAATTCCAGAATGACAGCAGAATAAGGCAGAAGATAAATTTGCAGCACCAAAACTGTATCAGAGGTGGCAGCCACCTAGTGCTGAAAGGGTATCAAAGATCACATCCACACTATGCATTATCAGCATTTATTTTCCCAAAGAACCCTGGGAACTGTATTTTCATCCTCATAGGCCTATGAATCCCAGCACCCTTCTTGAACTATAGTTACTATGATGGCATCTTTGTGTACAATGTAATGCAGTAGGGCTGATATGGAGCTTACTGCGGCCAGTCTTTGCCTGTTCAGTGCCAGATGAGGCTGGGACAAGTATTTCTATACCACTGAAGCCACTTTGTCCAATGACAAAGCTGGAGTTATGTGTACCCATAGACCAGGGAGGGGAACTTTTGGTAACCTGGGGACCACATTTGCTTCCAGACAACCAGACACTGGCTACTTGCCAGTGGTGGGCGGGGCCAGAGAAAGAAGTGGGTAGATAATAGCTACAGGAAATAAACAAAAGGAGCTCATACTGTGATTACAGATCTTATAAGCATGCACCATGAAGTTAGGAACATGCATTTTTTTAAAAAACACCAACCTTTGTTTCTCAGTGTTAAGTACTCTATTTAAAAAGGGTAAGTACAAGCGAAGCTGGTTTTATTAACCTCTGAAAGCAAGTGTCTTTGAGTTGCGTACTTTAAAATATTTACAAGAAGCTATTCAAATGGTTTTTAGTGGCAGCCAAAAAGGTTTAAAATAGTAATGATAAAATGTAGCAATCCAGTGGTTTAGCAACAATTCCAAACACTCAGTACTGAAATGCTGGTGGGGAAAATCTCCTCTTCTTCAACTTGCTTTCATTTAAACTCACATACCACAGAATGTTGAAGCACATGGAAGTGCAGGAATGGGCTTCCCTAAAAGCTAGCCGTGCTCCTTTCCATGTGTGCTAGAGTCCACAGTGGAGGGATGCAACCATGCAACTGCTGTCTAAAACAGCTAGGCCATGGTGACTAACCACCCACTATCAAATTGGGAGTGCTTGCCATGAGCATTGAGGCAATCCTGCTGGAAGTCTCCTGCTCCACATTCCTAGGTGACTTGGAGACAAGCTACATGCTGCCTTGAGCCATGACCTCTGAATGCTTTGCCAGTCAAGGAGGTCAGCTACCATGGGAGAAACCACATTCAGAAATTCTCCCCCACTTTGCAGAAGTGAGACATAGCATTTTCAGAAGCAGACAGGCATCTGTGGCCTTCCAGATGTTGCTGGACTCCAAACTCCCATCAGCCCAAAACAGAATGCCATCAGTGCTCAGAAATCAGGGGAGTTGCAGTCCAACAACATTTGGAGAGCCACAAGAAGCCATAATACATAGTAGCTAAGGAGAATGACATGGGACGCAGGTGGCCACAGAGCCTAGGACTTGCTGATCTGAAGGTCGGCGGTTCGAATCCCCGCGACGGGGTGAGCTCCGGTTGCTCAGTCCCTGCTCTTGCCAACCTAGCAGTTCAAAAGCACATCAAAGTGCAAGTAGATAAATAGGTGCCGCTCTGGTTCACCAGAGGCAGCTTAGTCATGCTGGCCACATGACCCAGAAGCTGTACGCCGGCTCCCTCGCCCAATAAAGTGAGATGAGCGCTGCAGCCCCAGAGTCGGCCACGACTGGACCTAATGGTCAGGGGCCCATTTACCTTTAAGAAGACTGACAGTGGAGAAGGAAGCCATGAGATGGAATCTGGCCCATCAGCCCTCCTCCTGCACCTTACCTGTGAGCTCAGTTTGCATCAGTGAGCATCTCTGAATTTATCCTTGAGAGATAACTTAATTCAGCCTGGGAGGCAGGTACTGCTCTGGCCAAGATCAACAGGGTCTCAGAGCTCCTTTCCAGCAGTGTCATTATGCTACCTACTCAGAAAAACACAATGAGCAAATTGTCTGAGGAGAGTCCAATCCCCTCTGCCCAGCTAAAGATGTTAGCAGACAACCCTCTCACTGCAGACAAAGAGGAATCCTCTGCTTTCACAGCAGCAAAGGGCATGTGCCAATAGAGGAATGTTGCATAGTTACAAACAGATGCAGGAAAGGGAAGGGTGGGTCAGGGACAAAAGGAATTCAACTGGGAGGACAGATATGGGCTTGTGGCCCACCTACCTTATTCATTCCCAAGCATCACCCCAGGGATTATTCTATATCCAAAAGCCTTTTGTTGATTTTTTGTTGTTGGGGAGTGTGTGAAGGGTGAAGTGTCTAACTGACTGCTTAGCTATTATTACTGTAATCTGCAAAACACTTAATAATTTAGGCTGTAAGGCTTAACTCAATTAACTGGTTAGATTAAATCACTGAAAGGCAAACTTTAAACAACATATTAGTTGATTAGGCAAATTATGTTAACATTAAGTGATTATAAAAACTGCAGTGGCAGTTAGGTTTTTTTTTTAAAAAAAAAAGCTTTGTGCAAATTAAGAACCATCATCGCTTTCACCAGATCCCCAACAGATATCTGTGTTATGTGGCTCTTGAAGGATTTATATGCACTAACAACACTATCCTATGCATGTCTATTCAGAAGTAAATCCCACTGAATTCAATGGGGCTTACTCACAGATACATCCCTGAATACAGGATTGCAGTCTTAGAAGCAGGAAGAATAAAGTTTGCTGGCCTCTTTATGCTTGTCCTTGATCAGTAAAATTATTTTGTTCATAATAGATATTACAGAGAATTGTATTAGTGTTCCTTTAATGGTCCTTTCCTTAATTTTAGGCAGCTGTCAGAAACTAATCCTGAAATTCATTCGGAATTAAATGATATAGATCCTCTCTAAAGTTTCACCAAGATGATCCACAACAGAGTGGTACAGTTGTTCTTAATATCACTTGGAACTACCAAGCCCATGCACACTCCTATTGAATGGAGAATTTCAGTTAAAATTCATTAGCAAAGCCATAGTCTATGGAGGCTTTCTTTTTAATTAAATCTACTTTGGATTCAAAAATGAAAAAGGAATGTTAAAGGTTCTTCTGTGAATCCCACATCAAGTATTTGATAGAAAATGAAGCATAAACTAATTCCTCAGGGCTGTCTCCTTTTGTCAGTCGCGCAACTATGATGCAATGTGTTCTCTACAGTGCTATCCTTAGCCCATGCTACCTCCATCTCTTCTTGAGTTTGCTGGCCTCCTAATTCCCCCTTTGAAATGTGTGCATATAGCATACTCCAACAGACTAAGTAAATAAAGCAATCCTATTATGTGCCATGACTTCTCTACACAATGCCTCTGTTTTGATGCCACACAAAATGGCATTTGTCATATTGCTTAACTAATGAGGACGCATGTGTTTCCTTCTGGAAGAAATAAAGGAGAACTGTCTCTTCTAGATGCAGCTGATCAAAGGACGATCAAGCACAAACACTAAAAGCCCGGAGGAAACTTTTCTTTCAGCTGCAGCCCCTATCCATTCAGTAAGGAGACTGCAACTTCTTTTAAAAGCAATTAAAAACATGAATTCAGGCCATTAATAAAAGTCACTTCGGAAAGATCAGGACATGGGTCTGAAACTTTTTTTTAAAATGTTCAAGGCGAAGTGGCTCACCCTTGCTTTTAAAACAAATCTTTAAAACAGAACTGGTGGCATAAGAGTAATGTGTGTCATTTGTGAGCCGACAGTTCTAAAATGTCGTCAGCGTTAGTTGCCATCCATTAAGCGTCTTTTAAATGGTAATAGTCACATAAATAAAATTCCATTCTGGGTATTAGATGCTGCTGCCTTCTCGCTAAGCTACCAGTGAACCCTTCTCTCATTACAGACCTGAAGACAGTAAAAAGGGAGGGGTATGTGTGTCCTTATGAACTTTGCTCTTCCCCTTATTAAACGCCACTGAAACACTGCCAAGATGCTGTTTTGACACGGCTGCAGTGCCAATTATACAAAAGATACAGACAACTGTACAGCAAGCCGTTGTTCTGGGAGCAAGCAGGAGCAGACTCTGGAACAGAACAACTGCAGCCATGCGTGTCCATATTACTTTAAGGCACCAGGGCTGCCTAGATCCTTTTAACAAGGTTTTAGTAAGTAGGTCAGCTGTCACCTGTGACAGGGTTCAAACTACTCACTGGAGGAACATATTATCTATGGTATCCCAGTATCGTTTTTCAGCAGCTGAGTTTGGAATCTTTTGCGCCTTCAGAATCTCCTGGTATATTTTTCAGCTAAGGGCTTCAGACCTTTTTCTGGGTGTAGGTGAGGACAGACAGCAGAAATGCTTGATCTCACAACATGGCTTTAGAAAAACTAACAAAACAAAACACGAATTGACTGTCATTTGGATTTTTAATTAGCTGCCTTTTCAATTTGCCAAAGTAAAATGTACCTAGTGCTTTCACAGTCAAAAGAGAATCCTGAATTTACTCATAGCTGGACTGAGTCCTGTTCCCCTTTAATTTCAATTAAGATGATAATCTGAGCCCCAAAATGCCTTCGTTTACGCACCCACCCAAAATAATTAAATGATGTATATGAAATACAATTGTCTCACTAGGCTATCAATAAGCATTCTAGCAGCTTTT